CGGTGAGATACGAGAGCTTTTGAAATGACTCGAAAGCTGTTCAGGGGCTTTTTGAGAGCAAAACATTTTAAACGTTTATTAACACATTTTGCTAGCTTAGAAATAATTCTGAAAATCTGCTTTTCATATTGTTGCCGTTGTGCGAACTCAGCCGGGAAAGAATATAAATGATGGCTTGAAGTACCTTGCTGTCGATCGTTTCGTCGTTTAGATGATAGAACATTAGCCCTTTCTCTGTTTTGGGAAGACCTAATGAGTTATCAAATGCAAAACGGCATTTTTATAATTTAAAACTCACTGATGAAACTGCTGACTAAAAAAGGGGTAAATGGAAAACGAACTAAACTTGCATCGGTAAGTAGGCTGAACAAATTCTTGGTAAACCCTGTTAAGCATGTAGTTGAAAGGTTAATTTTTTCCGACACGTGGCCGGAGGTCGACACTCTATCCTATGAAGTTGTTGCCATATTTGGTATGAAGAAAAAAGCAATACTCTTCTCTGAAAAAATGGGTCCGGATAGGATACCGAGGAGACTTGCTGCAAAGACGCAGATGACATCCTTCCATTTAAACCACAGGAGCTGCACTTCCGGACAACGGTTGGCAGGTTGACGGTTTTATTCGCGTTCGGGAAAGCAATTGTAGGAAAAAGATACGAATTCCCAAAAGACTGTCCACCGCTCAGGCAAGTCACATTTCTTTTTGCAACTACGCGAACTGATCAAGCGCATGGATGAGAAGCCAGATGAAAGAACTGCACTACACTGCACTGAAGACGTTGCTGTATGTAGAAGGCCTCCAAGGCCCTTCTTTGCGCGACATTCGCTTGAAGATGCTCCAGGCATCTAAACGAGCACGAGATGGATCATTGGCTATCGAAGAACTAATCAAAATATGAAAATCTGACAGCAATCGTGCAAAACCAAAGCGGCTCATCCAGAGAAGCTTCATACAATTGTACAGCATAGAACTTTGACTTCAAATCTCTCTTTTATATCTGCTCAACGCCGTTGTAGACGAAGTTACTATGTTTTATTGATAAATCGTACGTAGAGTACGAAATTCAGCCATTATTGCCATTTTAGCTCCTTTTTAGATATGAGTTATATAAAGTAATCTAGCTGCAGGTTTTGCTCTTAACCAAACTCGGTTCTGAACGGTCAATTTTCCTATCTGCACGCATGATTCTTAGCAATATAGTGGCTCATAATGGCTTACAACTTCATCTACGAAGGCTTTAGCAGACATGAAAGACAAGTTTAGAGTCAGCTTCTATACTGCATCCGATAGGATGCAGCTTGTTTACCTTGGCCAGTTGTTTTGACCATTTTCTTGTTAGATTAATTATAGGCAAGTTGCAATAGTTGAAAGATAGGCGAACTAGCAGTTGTGATGCGCGTAATTCAATCCTTGGTGGATGATCTTAGTACTCGAACAATAACTCATCATTTGCATTAGATGAATAGAGCATTTGCTTCAATCGCGAGCGCAAAACTTTTCCAAAATTATTGCACTAATCTAAGAAATTGCAGAGCTGGATGGAACTGATATACGCGATTGTGGAAAGAGTAGATCGCATTGAGAGAGAATTGAAGGGCGCTCCATTAGAGGTCAGAGACAGTGTTACCAGGCCATCAAGCATTTTCTAAGTGTGCAGAAACATATTTTTTGTCCTTCAGAGTGGGCAGGAAATTGCAAATCGAACATTTGATAAAGAAATGGAGGAAAGTGCTGTAAGAGAGAAGAGAGACAAAGCTCAGATAATGGTAAGAATAGACTAGTAAAAGGCTGACAGAATCTTCTATTATTAGTTTAGGATGAGACTGCGAAGAAAATCGAGCTCCTCGAACGGGAAATAAGGGACATTTTAAGAGAAAAGAGAGACAAAGTCTGCTGTGCACTATCATGAGAGGAAGACGGGATAAAATCTCAATGTTTGTTTTTTAGAATGTCCTCGACAAGATTGAGAGTCGAATAGAGCACATAGAAATGGAAATGAGTAGACATGCTTCACAAGAGAAGAGAGATAAGTTTTCGCTGATGGTGAGAGCAAACATCAAATACAGCTTTGAACTTGCAACTTGTTTTCATTTTAGACTGTAGTGGACAAAATTGCAAATCGATTAGATCGCATGGAAGGACAACTAAGGGATGCCCCATCAGAAAAGGGAGAAAAAGTCGTCACATTGACAAAACTATAACAACACTCACATTCCTATTTCAGAGTGTGGTGGACGAGATGGCAACTCGAGTGGAGCGCATAGAAAGGAAAATTGAGGAAGATATTCCACAGGAGAAGAAATTCAAAGCCTTGCTTATGGTGTGAGCGAAACCGACGGGATAAGGTCTTATTTTCCCACTTCAGAGTGTGTTGGATGGGATTACAACTCGGGTGGAGCGCATAGAAAGTGAAATGAAGAACGGCCAGGTAGACACGAAAGACAAACTCCAACTGATGGGAAGAGAAATGGCGGATAATCGACAGGACCGCATACAAAGGGATTCGGAAGAAGCTCCGGTGATAGCAAGACCGAAGGTTGGAACGCAAAGAAAGCCTACTCTTTGGCTTTTAGGATATGGCGGAAGAGTTTACAAGTCGAGAGAAGCACGTGGAAGGCACACTGAGGAAAATCGCTTCTATAAATAAGAAGGAAAACGACATTATGTGGTGACATACCATGACATAAGCGACTTACTATAAAATTTTTCAGAGCGTACTGGGCGAGATTGCAAGACGAGTGGAGCGCATAGAAAGGGATATAAGGACTGTTTTATTGAAGAAAGGAGACAAAGTATTGCTGATGGGCAAAGAAAACAAAAATCAGCAAGACTGTGCGTTTTATCATTTCAGAGTGCGGTAGAAGAGATTGCAAATCGAGTAGAATGCATAGAAAAGGAAATGAACGATGTTCAATCAAAGAGAGCAAGCAAAGGCTCACTGACGGCAAGAGGATCATCTCAGCAGCAATAAAGTAATAT